GTATATGTATATATATATATCCTAAAAAGGAAGTTATGTTTCTTAAAAAACATTCTAAGGGGAGCTGAGGACTACTTGGGTAGCCTCAGAGCAGATTACACAGAATGCAGACAAGGAAACATTCAGCAATAGTTCATATGTCAGAGCAGTTGGTTTTTGGATGCCATGCTACACTTAGGAAACAGTGCCCATTTTTTTGGTTTATGTGGGATAGAATTTTTTAAATATATTGATAAGAGTAACTAAAGAGCTATTAACTCTAGATCTTTGTTTTTTAAAATTTTAAAAAAATGTATCAACTCTTTTAATATTCTTTTGTGTAGATCTGTTTCCGAACTACTATCAAATTCAAAGTTTGATGTTAATTATGCATTTGGACGTGTGAAAAGAAGCTTGCTTCACATTGCAGCAAAGTAAGATTAAAGCTATTTTGAATTGAACTCTCGTCTAGAGTAATGATCAGTAGTAGTAGGATTTGAATCAGTGTTGGCCCAGGGTAGTTATGGAGAGAAATGAGAACAGACATCTGAATGGTTCTTTATATGTTAAGGGCATAGTGTGCTATGCTTACATTCTTTACCTAAATATATTGTTAACCTCGGGATTGGACTCTAGTCTCATATCCACTGTCTTAGCTTGTTCTAGATCAAAGCAGAATATGTTAGGCACTGGGTTGTCTTTTTTAGAAATACTTAGACTCTCATTCATCGAAATTTTTCTTTTATCCAACCAATATGAGATTTTATATGCTAACTACACATGGTCATTGGCCTTATACAGGGGTGGGCAAAAATAGGTATTCAGTTGTGAGTACATGAAACAGGGTTTATTCTTGTGTTATTATTTATTAGTTATTGTGTTATTTTCCATAGGAACAACTGTAAACCTACTTTTGCCCCATCCTATATTTTAAAGTAGAGGATATTTATTATTTGTGACAGAAGTCATCTTTTAGGTTAATATGAACCTCAAAAATAATGTGTTTAATAAGCTTTTTGTTCTTTAATTAAGCTATATCAATTTGGCTGTGTTGAATGTATCTGATCTATTTTTAATATTGTTTTAGTTGTGGATCTGTGGAATGCTTGGTTCTGCTGTTAAAGAAAGGAGCAAATCCTAACTATCAAGATATTTCAGGCTGTACACCACTTCATTTGGCAGCTAGAAATGGGTAAATATTTCGTTTTCTTAGGTAGATTAAGTTGTATTATTTTTATTCAAGGCACTCTACATTGATTTGATTTTTTCCCCCCCTATTGGTCTTGGTAAGAGGGTCTTGGGTCATTATATTCAATTGTTAAATAACTATCATATTTAATAATTTATGAAATTGTTTACCGATATTTTTCTTCTTGAAAATATATCTGTTGAAGTTAATTTTTACTTGGTTTATAGCAGTGGTTCTCAACCTTCCTAATGCCGCGACCCTTTCATACAGTTCCCCATGTTGTGGTGACCCCCAATTTCATGGTTACAAATTGAACATAATTAAAGCATAGTGATTAATCCCAAAAACAATATGTAATTATATATGTGTTTTCTGATGGTCTTAGGCGACCCCTGTGAAAGGGTTGTTCGACCCCCAAAGGGGTCGTGACCCACAGGTTGAGAATCACTGGTTTATAGTGACATTTTATTTTCTGAAAGGAAAGGTTTTTGCCTTAAAAGGTATCCTTTTTCCTGCTAATCTCTTGTCACAGTTTATTCCATGTTGTATTTTCCAAATTGCTTATTTAGTTAATTTTATTTATGGAATTAAATGCAGATTAAATGTTGTGTTTTTTTTTCCCATTGATTTTAGAGCGAGAGAGGAAGGGAGCGAGAGACAGAGACACAGAGGGAGAAACAACGATTTTTTGTTCCACTTATTTATGCATCTGTTGGTTGTTTCTTGTATGTACCCTGCCTGTAGATCAAACCTGCATCTTTGGCGTATCCAGTTGATGTTCTAACCAACTGAGCTAACTGGCCAGGGCCAGAGTAAATATTATTATATCCAGTTTATTCATAGTAACTATTTGAGAATGAGCTATACTAGATAGAGTAAGCTTTGTTTTTTATTTTATTTTTAAGGATGAAAGTTTTTTTGTTTCTTCAAAATATTTTTATTGATTTTTAGAGAGAGAGGAAGGAAGAGGAAGAGAGAGAAAAACATTGATGTAAGAGCCGCACATCGAACGTTGCCTCCTGCACGAGCCCAGTGCATGAGACCATACCCAACCAACTGAGCACACTGGTCAGGGCATGGAGTAAGCTTTCTTGATTACTCCTGTCAGTGCCAAAACTGCTTTTCATTTTAGTTACAACAAAATGTTTCCTTAATAAATAATGTGCTTGCTAGCCCTCTTTTAAATTTTTAATTAAATCAGCATTTTTCCATTATGGAAGTATTATTTCCAAAATGTGAATATAATTTTTGCCTTTTCCTGCTAACTCTGGTCATCATTATGAACATCATTATGTTATTGTGTACTGTTTTTAAATCCTACTATACTTTTTATGGGTTTCTCTCCTTTTTTGTAAAAAATTTTAGATGTCACATCTCTGTCTGCATCTACCAATATTTATTACTTCTTAAAATTCTGTTTGACTGAGAAACCAGGCAAAAATGATAGGAATTATGTTCAAAATGAAAATAAGTAGTTTTTGATTGTGAGTTTGAGGACCTTATAAACATTTTTCTAATGCTATAAAACTTCTTTATGAAAGTATATTTCCATGTGTCTCTTCTTTTGTTTACTCTTGAAAATATTTTTGTTTTCTGTTCTGAACTGGGATTCTAGATAGGGATATGGGGCTAAAATTGTCTACTGCATCAATCTGAGACAAATTTTTGCATACATGGATTAAGGTGAAACCCAAAGAACAAGAACTTCAGGGATGTCTAGGTTGGAGTGGAAAAGGCATATAGTCCTTTGACCTATCTGGTCTTCCCCATTTTCTGATTTGGCATATGAACTAGTTTAGGTAACAGCTTATTGTTTTTTTAATACTTGGCCACATTAGGTATGTTGTAGGAGGTCACCCCCTAAATCATAGAGTAGATTATTTATTTACTTGCTGAATTAATCTCAGGTCTAGATACCTTATCCCTAGTAGGATAATAATAAAGGTCTGTGAAAAAGTTACATATAGAAAATATCTCAGTACTCTGTTTCAACAATCCTATCTAATAATAGACAAAGATGGTAATTGACTGTACCTTCGCTATGCCTCCCATGGGCTAATCAGCGTGATATGCAAATTAGCCGCCAACAAAGATGGGGGCTAATTTGCATATTACAGGCAGGGCGGGACAGCGCGAGCCGCCATCCGGGCCTTGTGTGCAGCCCCGCCCCCAGCTGGGACCCCCGTGTGCCCCTTGTGTGCAGCCCTGCCTCCAGCTGGGACCCCCGTGTGCCACCTAATACCGGAGCTGCCTAAGCCCCACCCCTAGCCCAGACACCATGGCAATTAGAGAGCAGGAAAGTGCTGCCCACAGGGAGCACCCAGCAGGGCTTGACCCCGGGTGCCCTGGCGATCCAGCGATCGGTGAGCAGGAAAGTGCGCCCTGTAGGTAGCACCCAGCAAGGCCTGCTCCTGGATCGCCGGCGGCCATCCCCGAGCAGGAAAGGGCGGCCTGCAGGCAGCCCCCGTGTGCGCCTGCTCCTGGGTCACCTCGGCGATCCCAGAGCAGGAAAGGGCGGCCTGCAGGCAGCCCCCGTGTGCGCCTGCTCCTGGGTCGCCGGCAGCCATCCCAGAGCAGAAAAGGGCGGCCTGCAGGCAGCCCCCGTGTGCGCCTGCTCCTGGGTCGCTGATGTGATCCCAGAGCAGGAAAGCATGGCCTGTAGGCAGCACCCCACCCTGGCCACAGCTCAAGGGAAAGTACAACACACAGTGGAGGCCAGGAGCCTGAGAGATCAACAGAGGGGGGCGCCTGCTCCAAGCCTCCAAGGTGTGGCTGGGGGCAGGCCCCCAGCAGACACACACACACACACACAGCGCCTACTCTGAGCCTCCAACGTGGCTGGGGGCAGACCCCCAGCGGGGACACACACACACACACACACACACACACACACACACACACACATACGGCAACTGCTTTGAGCCTACGTGGCGCGGCTGGGGGCAGGCCCCAGCAGACACACACACACACACACGGGACGCCTGCTCCGAGCCCACCCCCCAGTGCACGAATTTCGTGCACCGGGCCTCTAGTTGTAAATGAAAGGACAAATTGGTGCACAGCAGGGCCAAAATTGTAGTAGGAAGACTTAGTCATTTAGGAGACTATTACTTCCCCCCCTCATCTTTGTTGATGTATAATTGACAAAATAACAAGATATTTAAAGTATACATTGTAATGATTTGATATATCTGTACATTGTGAAATGATTCCTTCCATCTAGTTAATTAACACATTCATTCACCATCATCTCACAACTCATATATTTATCTTTCTTTTTTGCGGAGGGGTGAGAACATTTAAGTTGGAGACCATTACATTTAAAAAAAAATGTTTTTATTAATTTCAGAGAGGAAGGGTGATAGAGAGAGAGAGAGAGAGAGAGAGAGAGAAACATCAGTGATGAGAGAGAATCATCCATCGGTTTTCTCCTGCAAGCCCCCTACTAGGTGTCAAGCCCACAATCTGGGCATGTACCCTGACCGGGAATTGAACGGGTGACCTCTTGTTTAATGGCTGGCGAGACCATTACATTTTTAAAAAAATATATTTTTATTGATTTTAGAAAGGGAAGAGGGAGAGAGAGATAGAAACATCAGTGATGAGAGAGAATCATTGATCGGCTGCCTCCTGCACGCCCCCTACTGGAGGTCAAGCCTGCAACCCGGGCATGTGTCCTTGACCAGAATCAAACCCTGGACCCTTCAATCCGCAGGCTGATACTCTATCCACTGAGCCAAACCAGCTAGGGCAAGACCATTACATTTTAAAGATGAAGAAATATGAGAGATACTGCATTACTCACATGGCAGGTCAGTGAAGAGAAAAGGAATAAGAAGAGCTCATAACCCTGACATAACATCAATTTGGATGCCTTTCGTACTTAACTTTTTTTTATTATTTATTAAAAATTCCCCTATGACCTATGCTTCAATCTATACAAATTTGAACTCATAAAGAAATTATAGCAAAAAGCTATGTCTGAAAACATAAGCAGCTGCAGGAATTAACAAGTACTCAAGTTGCTTAGCAAACATTCATTGAGCTCCTCTTAAGTTGTACAATCGAACTGTGACTTACTGGTTCATAGGTCAACACTCAGCTACTGAGTCAGGGCAGCTGGGTTGTTCTTTTCTTATAAAAGATTTGTTCAGCCAATAAAATTTGTAGCTGTTGATTTGTAAGATTAATAATAATCTATAAAGTTTTATTGAGAATGACTAGCTATGTTTAGTATTGAGTTGATTAAAGAAATATGATATAATACATGGCATGAAGAAATTTATGATCTAATTGAGTAGTGATATATACACATGTATATTGTATGTACTAAATACTCTGTATGCCATATACTATCTATGTGAAGACTACTCATTTATTAATACTATATATACATAGTATAGTATATATAATATAGTACACATACACTGTTATGTATTTTTATGCACATAATTATTTATTCAACTAGATAATAAACTTTTATGCTATGGACTATATCATATTTCCTTAATCAAAGCATATATATATATATGTATCTATATATACACACACACACATATGAAATGGATATTATATACACACATATGTGTGTATCACTTTATTTCCAAAGCATGAATTTTCATTTTATTATTTAATGAAGGGGACATTGAGATGAATACTGAATAGTAACTAGTAATGGATCAGGCTAAGATGAATCATTGTGAGCAAAACAAAATGGGTAGGCAGTTCAAAAGGGGCAAAGGACTTGAATAGGCATTTCTCCAAAGATATACAGATGGCTACTAAGCACATGAAAAGGTACTCACTGTCACTAATCATTAGGGAAATGCAAAACAAAACTATAATGAGTTATCATCACACTTATTAGTATGACTATCAAAGAAAAACAACAAAACAAAGCAGAAAGTAACAAGTTTTGATGAGGATGTGGAGAAATTGGAACTCTGTCCACTGTTGGTGGGAATGTAAAATGGTACAGGTGCTCTAAAAAACATTTTGGTGGTTCCTCAAAAAATTAAAAATAGAAATACCATATAATCCAACAATCCCACTTCTGGATATATACCCAATAACATTGAAAGCAGGGTCTTGAAGAAATATTTCTGTACCCATGTTCATAGCTGTTCACAATAGCTAAAATGTAAACAACCTAAATATGTATCCATTGACAGATGAACGGGTAAGCAAAATGTGGTATGTACATATTTTGGAATATTATTCAGTCTTAAAAAGGAAGGAAATTCTGACATATGCTAAAACGTGGATAAATCTCATGGACATTATGCTAAGTGTCTTTGTGACTAACATTAGGCCAGTCACAAAGAGACAAACACCTGTCTGATTCCACTTTTATGAGGGACTTATATAAGCCCAAATTTTAGAGACAGAAAGTACCATGGTGGTTGTGAGGAGCTAAGGGTAGAAAAGATGGGGAGTTATTGTTTAATGGATTTCAGTTTTCAAGATGAAAAGAGTTCTCGAGATGGATGGTGATGGTTACACAATATGAATGTACTTAATACCACTGAACTGTATACTTAAAAATGGTTAATATGCTATATTTTATGTTATGTGTATTTTACTACAGTAAACATGAAAAACAATGAAGTAAGTAGGGGGATGCATATACATGTATTTTATTTTGTGCTTATGTTTTTATAATTCATCTTAGTATTAACTTTTAAATATTTTATAATCATGAATGTAGGATACAACATTGAGACATGCTTTTGCTATATATATTCATTCCTCTTTCATTAGGCTTATGTTATACTAGAGGCCCAGTGCACGAAATTCGTGCATGGGGGGCGGTGTCCCTCAGCCCAACCTGCACCCTCTCCAATCTGGGACATCCCTCTCACAATCTGGGACTGCTGGCTCCCAACCGCTCGCCTGCCTGCCTGCCTGATTTCCTCTTCTGCTTGCCAGCCTGATCTCCCCTTAACCACTCCCCTGCCAGCCTGATCGATGCCTAACCACTCCCTTGCCGGCCCAGTTGCCCCCAACTGCCCTTCCCTGCCAGCCCGGTCACCCCCAAGGCCCTCCCCTGCCGGCCCAGTCGCCCCCAATGGCCCTCCCCTGCTGGCCATCTTGTGGCTGTGGGCGCCACCATCTTTGAGGGTGGGGCAGTCAATTAGCATATCCCCTCCTTATTGGCTGTGGGTGCCGCCATCTTTGTGATGATGTAATGGTCAATTAGCATATTCCCTCTTTTTATTAGATAGGATTGCTAATGAAAATTACTATTTCAGATATTCAGTCAACACTAGAAATTTCTCAGCATTTTGAATGATGACTGTCCCAATGACATGAAAATCTTATTGTGCCTTTTCTTTATCCTATTATCTTTGAGTCATAGAAACAATTTTGTATATTATTTCAAATGTTATAGTGTTTATTTAAATACTGAAGATATGGATTGATACTTTATATAGCATAATAATTGTTATTTGTTTATATTTCTAGTATCAGTTATTTGTGACTTTCTTTCTTTTTAGGCAGAAGAAATGCATGAGTAAATTATTAGAATACAGTGCTGATGTCAACATTTGTAATAATGAAGGCCTTACAGCAGTAAGTGCTAAGAATTTCTTGAGATTTTTAAAATGCTTTTTAGAAATAACATTGAAGGTGATAGTAATGCAAAGTGCAGTACAAGTGTTTTTGCAAGTTACTTCTTTGTGATAATTAAGAAGATGCAGAATGATTTGAGATATAGTTCTCAGCTATATTTATTAAGAGAAGATATGGTCCACCATATTTCTTCTTTTTCCTCCAGTTTGAATGTATGCCTTTTCATTTGTTTTGAAGTCTTATTCCCCTAGCTTTTGTTATCGATTTTCAATGACTTTCAGTGGTCCCCTACTGGGGATTGAGCCTGAAACTTGGGCATGTGCCCTGACTAGGAATTGAACTATGACCTCCTGGTTCATAGGTTGATGCTCAACCATTGAGCCACATAGGCCAGGCAGTTGTTATACTTTGATCCACATAGATATTTTAGAGGGATGGTATAGGATATTTGAAGATATTATTGAAATAAAAAATTTTAATCAAATTGTCATTATTTATTTTATAAGTAGAGCTAAAATAGAATTTTGTGATTATTGAGAAATTGTTTTGAAGTCATGACAGAAGATGTTAAGTTTTACTTATTAAATTTTACCTCCCTATTTGTGAGGTGATAGAGATATTAATTAACTGGAAGGCGGGAATCCTTTGACAATGTATATGAAATCATCACACTGTATACTTTAAATATTTTATAATTTTATTTGTTAATTATATTTCAATAAAGCTTAATGATGTGCTAGGTATTACAGAGGATTATAAAACTATGGAACTGTCAGCAGTCTGTCCTTAGAGCACTGTCTAATATAGGTAAGATAAAGTGTCCAATATTCGCATAATGTTTATCACATTAGTTTTTATCTGCTAATTTCTTCCACTCCTAAACTTTAAAGGAAGTAGAGTAGGACATTTTTAAACATCAAATTTTAACCTAAAAACTATTCATGTGCATATTTAAAGGGTCATTTGATTATACCAGGCTGTTATAGAAAAAGTCTCTATTCTTTTTCTGCCTGGGATCAACCTCGGTGTTCTCTCCTGTGGGCCTGATTGGTGTGGTGTGCCTCCTTTTCTTGGATACTATTCTGGCTGCCAAGCATGTTCCTGCCTTATCCCAGACCACCATGGTGGAGTTAATTCAGCAGTTGGGTTCATTGACCTCATTGGCTGAAGGAAGCTGGGATGGTGGAGATGTGTTGCTACAGAATTGAGTACTAGTCACCAAACATGAAGGGGAGTAAAGCCAAGCACTGCTGAGATGACGTAACCTTCAGTAGGGAGCCAAGAGCCCCAGGATTGTTTTTACAGAAGGAGAGAATCGTTGACTACATGCTTTCTAGGTTGGTCAACCTCACAAAAGACTCCTCATGTTTCTTCATTTGTTCTTTCAAAGGACAGTACTTAACTATATGCTAGGTAGGCACTTTGCTGGTGTGGGGATAGAGTAGTGAATATTTCTGACCCAGACCTTGTCATCTCCAAACACGAAAGTCAGCAGGTGTTGGTGACACATTGAAATGTCAACATAGGAGATGGAGAGCTATGGAAGAAATGGAGGGGGATCCATCCTTACCTAGGAGCATGAGAGCTGAGGCCAAGGGACAATTAAACATTGGAGTGTTAAAAGTGGTGGCTAAAAGAGTGTTAAAAGAGTTCTAGCTCTGTGGAATAGATTGTTGAAGGCTTAGAAATGAAAGAGAGTATGATACATTAGAACAATGAGCTTAATGTGATATTCAGATACCCCTGGAGCTTCATGAGTACTTCCAAAGGCTGGTGGCATGTATATTTAAGGATATCACTTTACAGATCTTCAGTTTCTATGTTTCTATGTGCTCTTAAGATGATCTGCTCAAGAGCATCCCCTGGTAGAGAGCCAGCCCTTTCCACTTTTACCTTTAAAATCACTCTTCCACCACTTGTTTTGAGCAGAATACATTTTATACTCACCCATCCTGAATATTGCCAAGACACATTGTCAAGGATGGGGTGGGGCTAGGAGTAAACAAACAAACAAACAAAAAACCAACTCAAAATATTGGTGTCTGCAAAGGCTCTATCATTCATCACCCTTAGGCTTTTTCCTGTCTTACATGTATTGCTGTTACTGGTGAAGTATTTAGACTTGAGTTGCTTTATTCTGAATTCAGCACAATTACAAAAATGATGCAATAGGTGTGTTGGAATATTTGCTTGGTTTGTCACCAATACCATCTCACAACTACTATCAAAGAATTCATTGCCTCTGAGGTAAAGTTCAGTGAGAAGCAAAAGAACATCAGTAGGAAATGCTGAAGTCAGTGGTGACTCTTTTCACCCAGCTGGCAGTCAGGGTGACTTTTAATCTATCTATTTTATTCATACTTATATCTACCTATATTTACCTATATTAGGAAATGGAGGAAATGGGCAGTGACTGCTAATGGGTACAGGTTTTCTTTTTGGGGAAATGAAAGTATTCTAAAATTGATGGTGGTGATCACACAACTCTGAATATACTAAAAGTCTATAGGTTGTATACTTAAATAGGTGAATTGTATGGCATTATGCCTCAAGTAAATACACATATACCTTATGACACCCTCGTCCCCCCCCAAAATAAAACATTCTCTTGATCTTCCTCCCAACCTCCAAAATTCTCATTCCATAGTGAGCTCCTCTCAATTATTTTTAATGGATTTAAACATTTTGTTTTCCCTGTATCTGAATGACATGCTAATATTGCTACCTTTTGAATTTTTCAGTTTTAGGCTTCACCTATTGATTTTCTGAACAATAAGATTATTGCTGTCTTTTTCAGCCTCCCTCCCATATCCCTTCATGTACAAGCACATTCCCTCAGACCCTTACAATAGAGTCACAATTTTAGTTATTTCATTTTTCAATGTTTTAGTTTTTGATTGTGTAAAAACTATTCATAGTTAGGTTAAGTTGTTTTTTATTGTTACTTTTCTGTTTTATAAAGCATTTTATTTTTCATGTAGTTAAAAATTGCATTTAAAAAATTGAGGTAATTGTAGATTCATATGCAGTTGTAAGATACAGAAAAACCCCCTGTATATTTTGCCCAGTTTCTCATTGATCACATTTTACAGGACCATAGTATAATATAATATCCTGACCAGGGTATTGACATGGATACAGTCTTACTCATTTCCTGTTTTACTTGCTTACTTGTACCCAGTTTTACCTGTGTGTATGTATGTACATATATTAAGTTTTATACAGTTTTATTACCTGTGTAGATCCATGGGTCCACTACCGTAGTCAACATCCTGAACATTTCCAATTCCACAAAGATGCCTTGTGTTGCTCTTCTTTTCTAATCACACCTTTCTCCCCCTTAACTCCCAGGCCTAACCCCTGGCAACCACTAATCTATTTTTCTTTTCTGAAATGTTGTTTCAAGAATATAGACATGGAATCATAATGTGTGGAATTTTTTGGGATTGGCTTTTGTATACTCATCATATTCCTTGGAGATTGATTTAGATTTTTGTGTGTATCAATAGTTTGTTCTTTTATATTACTGACTAGTATTCCTTGGTGTAGATATACCACTGTTTGTTTAATCATTCACCTCTTGAAGGACAACTGGGTTGTTTCCTGTTTGGAGCTATTGCAAGTAACGCTGCCATAAGCATAAACATTAGTGTACAGGCTTTAGGGGTGAACATACATTTTCATTTCTCTGGAATAAATGCCCAGGAATGCAGTTGCTGGGTTGTATGGCATTTTCCTGTTTAGTTTTCAAATGCACTGCCTAACTTTTCCAGAGTGACTGTATCACCCCACCAGGAATCTAGTTTTTCAGCATCCTCACTAGCATTTGATATTGTTAATGTTTTTTTTATTTTAGCAATTATGATAGGTACTAGAGGCCCAGTGCATGAATTCGTGCACCAGTGGGGTCCCTTGGCCTGGCCTGCGGGATCGGGCTGAAACCGGCTCTCCAATATCCCCCAAGGGGTCCCAGATGGTGAGGGGGCACAGGTCAGGTGGAGGGACCCCACCGGTGCATGATTGAGGTTGGGGAGGGATGCGGGAGGTTGGCCAGCAGGGAGGGACCCCAGGAGGGCTCCAGGGCATGTCCGGCCTGCCTCGCTCAGTCCTGATTGGCTGGACCCCAGCAGCAAGCTAACCTACTAGTGGGAGCATCTGCCCCCTGGTGGTCAGTGCACGTCATAGCAAGCAGTTGAGTTGCCTTAGCATATAATTAGCATATTACGCTTTGATTGGTTGAACGGCTGACCGAACGACCGGACACTTAACATATTAGGCTTTTATTATTTAGGATAATTATATCTCTTGTAGTTTTACTTTGCTTTTGCCAAATTGCTGATATTGTTGAACATGTTTTTATATGCGTTTTTTACCATTTGTGCATTTTTTACCATTTGTTCATCCTCTTATATGAAATGATAGTTCATGTCATTTGTCCATTTTCTAATTGGATTTTTTAAAAAATTTATTGATTGCTTTTTAGAGAGAGAGAGAGGAGAGAGAGAGAGAGAGAGAGAGAGAGAGGGAGGAAGAAGCAATGCTTTGTTGTTCTACTTATTTATGCATTCAGTGGTTGATTCTTGTATGTGCCCTCACCATGGATAGAATACAAAACCTTGGAGTATGGAGTAGATGCTCTAACCAACTGAAGTAAAGAATATGACACCCACTTTGTTAATTACTTTTTAATTTATGTTTGCTTCTGGGGAAGGAAAATTATTCAGTACCTTTTCTATAGAGGAAACCTATTTATAGAGTCCAGGATCATCTAAGAAGCAGACTATTTGGTGATCCTTAGTCTAAACTTAACTACTTTGAACCATGAAGTGCTTGATTTTGAAATACATGGTGGTGTAACCTACATCTTGATGCATATTTTTCCCCCTGTAAAAATGTAATAGGAAAAAATATATATATAGGCTTAAATTTTAATTTTAGTTTTTAGTGTGTATTATGCTCACACTTGGGAAGTAATAGCATCTATCTGCTGTTTTTATGTGAAACACTCCTGCATAAATGCTAAGTAACTAACTGACTGCACAGATACACTGGCTGGCTGTGAATGGGCGGACAGAGCTACTCCATGACCTTGTACAGCACGTCAGTGACGTCGATGTTGAGGATGCAATGGGGCAGACAGCGCTGCATGTAGCCTGCCAGAATGGTCACAAGACGGTAAATTCAGCTGTGAAAACTTTAAGTTGCATGTGTTTATTTTTGAAAACTTTGAATCATGTAATGTTTCTCACTGTGCATACATAATTGGAAACATGAAGCATCATAGCAACATCTTGTTATAACATTTTCTGCATCATACAGACTTCTGGTTAATATATTTTATGTGGAAAAAGGAATAGAAAATAGTGCTTTTAAATCTGTTTAAAATATTTGTAATTTGGATTTCAACTTCATTTTTGATTCATAGATTTTTAAATAGCTGAATATATTAAAAATTTAAATGTAGTATGTTCAGATATAGTTTTAACAATTATGTTTTGTTCTCAGTTTTACCAACTAAGTTTTTCATATTTTCTTTTATTTTTTATTACTAAGCCTCAATGATTGGGATTAGATGTAAAGAAAGTGAATACTGACATTTCTTAAATCATTTAACTTGGGTTATCATATTTGTCTACTATCGCAGAATATGATGCAACCACTAGAATGACAGTTGTTTTCTTTCAGATTTTAGGGTTCTAAAATCATGCATTTGTTTTATAGCAATAGTTTTCTGTTAATTCTATGTACAAACATTTGGCTTTTAAAATTCCTAATAGTTTTCTCTCATTAGGAGACTTTGCTGCCTTATATAAAGGTTGTTAGCTTACGATTATAGATGAATTTCTGCTTTGCTATAATTTCCTGGTTACTTTCCGGTTGTTTCCTCCCCCACCCCCGCCCCCGCCACACACACACACACACACACACACCCACTAATGCAAAATTGCGCATTTGCTATTATTGATAATAGAATGTTGCTTATTTACTTGCTAACCGTAAAAATAACAACAACAAAGACCAACCCTATACAACAACTTTAAAGATACAAAATTTGCTTGTTTATATTTATTTTTTTGTATACTCTTTGGGTCTTACCTTTCTGTGGGAGAATTCTTAGTGGAGTCATTGGTTTCCTTCTCTGCAAACACTTTTTCCTAACCTGGTTCAGGATATAGGATCCTACGTGTTTAGATGCTTTATGTATGACATCAGTTCACAGAATATTTCACTTCTTTAAGATTGTGAGGCCAAGGTTGACATTGTCTTATTTAAGAGTTAGATAAAAGGAGGGATGTAGGATTCTTTTGATTACATGGAATTTTTCTGATCATCATTGTTCTTTTTAAATTTTTTTGCCTTTTATTATCTGAAAAGTAATCCAGTATTTTCAAGGAATATTTCTTCTCATTGTCTCAGAGTCCACACTATTAAATTTAAAAAATATTTTGTATGATAAAAAATGATCTGAAATATTCTACTCTTGAGTGGCCCAGTGTTTTTTTTTCTCTCTCTCTCTCTGTGTGTATTTTCTATACTGGACTGTACTTTATTTATTTTTTTGAAATTTATCTTTATAACAGGTAAGTGGAATGTCATGTACTGAGATTGCAAACCCTACCTGTTGTTCAGGAACTTGTGTAGGAAAAAACTGGAATTCAGATTAGGAATGATCTACAAAATTGCATTTTAGCTGCCTTGAATCAGTGAAGAAGCAAGAATTACATAGAAAATCTTATTTCAAAACATGTGCATTACAGGCTGAATTAGAAATTTAGAATTGCCTTCTGAAGTTATTGAAAGGTAGGTAGTATAAGTATAATATATTCCATATGGTTTGCAACTTAAAGCAGGTGTGGTAAAGTAAGGGAGAATTCCTCATAGCCAAATGCCTTTGAAGAATTATATTCTCAGAAGATTTATAGGGAGCCTGACTTTACTGTGGTGATGAGTTTTACAGGGTGAGATTTTGCAGATATAGTAGAGGAGGAAGTGTACAAAAAACCATGTTGACTGGTGGTTGATTGTATTAGTGAGTGAGATTCCATTCTGTCATAGTTGATCAGTTGTAGTTATCTGCAAGGATCATATACAGATAATATTTAAAACTGTTTTTGGAGTCATTGTATTCATCTTTAATCCTTCTTCAATTAGGGCAAGAAAGGATCTTGAAAAATTAGCGTACCTTCTAGCCTCCAGGCTGAATTGTATTTCTAAAAATCTGTGTTGACAGTTGTACTAATATTACCTGTGTCTCATAATTACTCATGTATTTCTGGTCTGTGTTCACAGTTCCATGGATAAGCATATCCTTTTATCTAGAGCTGAATATGATTTATTGGGTTATAAGATATAAGTTATTACTGGATAGGGATTATTGATTTTTTAAACTCTGTGTATCTTTCCATAAGTTGACTACTGAGTCTAAAATGCTTTGTCAGGTATCACAATTGGGACTTATTTTAGTGGCAAGTGAAAATGGCCTTTTTATTGTCTCAAAGTGGCCAGTTCTTACATCAAATCATTAACAGGTATTCAACACTGGTGTCCATGTAGATACAGGTTCAAGATTTCAGTTTATGTTTAAGCTGAAAAGCTTGCATATTGATTATGTATTTTTTATAAAATGAAATAGGAAACTTTAGAGGGGGAAAGAAACTCTATTTTAAAACATTTTTAAAAGCATATAATTTCTTTCAAATTATAGAAACAGCTATGACAAAGAAGTCCTCTGAAGTTTCAATCTAATCTCATTTTAGAGTAAATCTCAAAGGGGCATGATAAGATTTAACTGGCTGAGAGCTCTAAAGCTTTGTAGAATTTGTAATTGAAGACTATATTTTTGCTCTCAGGCTAAGAATTACAGATTTACATTACTTTTTTAAAGTTAAAAGATTTGGTATATTCATTTTTGTCATAACTAAGAAATCGAGTAATCTTTGCTATGATTTCAAATAGATGCATAAATTTCATTAGCAGTAAAGGTCTCATCATCCTCTTGTTGGAAAGAAGTGGTTTCGGCAGTTGAAGAGTACCTTCCGATCTTTTATTTGTCCTCGCAACATAACAGCACTATGATTTTAAACTACTTCTATTCCTATTTATAAGTGATCAGGTCAAAGAAATGATCATAACAATTTCTGAATAATGCAATTATCTATAACTTTCCTTAGGTCAATTGTTAATTAGCTATATGATACTAAAATTATGGTTTGTTTTTCGATACTGATTTTGACATATCATTTCAGAGTTTGATTATTCAGCTGGCTTATTATATATAGTTTTTGGCAACTCTTTGTTCCCACGCCTTATGTAGCTCCTAAGGTATATTCTGTTTACTGATCACATAATTAAGAAAAGCGTTGTGAACACGTTGGAAAACACTTAAGAGCACTAATAGTTTTGGTACTATTACTGTCATTATTAATATGGATGATGGGATTCTTTAAGCAAAGTATAGAGAGCACTATCTGGATCCTTAATTGACTTATCTTGTGCAAAAAGCTATTGTGTTTTTTGAGTTTTAATCTCATTTTTAGAAAGAGTAGTGAAGCCTCATATTATTCTACATGGTGTATAATTTACTCCAATTTATTTGGCCATAAGTTGAATGAATATTTTGGTAATTTTTTCTTTGTTATTAATTAAATTTATTAATGTGTTGAGTTGTCACAAATAGTTGCTTACTGATATCTGGAATACTTTGGATTTAGAAACCCTAGAAGACTTTCAGATGGTTCATTCTCAATTTATATAAATTAGGGTACACAGCAGGATTAGTTTAGAAACGAATTTCAATTTATTTGTACAATAAATTTTACTTTTATCAGAATAAATTTTATATTTCTAAATTTATATAGCTGAATATGAAGCTTCACAAACATAAAGTGGTAGCTGAATCCTGCTTAGATTTAAGCTCTTTTGACACAACTTCCTTAGGTCAGTTGTTAATTAGCTGTATGATACTAATTATGGTATTATAGACTATCTTTGATAGAACTGACTGCATTTTTTGCTGAAATTGTAGGCTTGTTAAGGAACAGTGCTCACCTATATTCAGTCAGCTCTCTTGCTATCTTAAAACACATTGTATGCGGGCCGTTTTTGCTTAATTTTTTGCGCAAATGGCAACATTCAGTAAAATTACGATAACTTTAGTTTTACATATTTTTTTTTCAATGAAACTTTTTGTGATTTACTATAAAATGTATACTGAATTATTTTTCTTACATTTTAAACAGACAAATACTGGAAAACTCACTGGAAAATTGTGTTTACCAGTCAACATAAAACGTATAAATACGTTTCCCGCATCCAATGTGTTAAGCCAGCTCCCAAGCTTTTCATCCAGAGATTATAGACCACGCTTAATTGAAAGCTTTGCAAAAACATTAATTGGATCTGCCTTGAGGCACAAAGGTAGATACTCCAACATTTATTTATTCCTTCCTTCCTTCCTTCCTTCCTTCCTTTCTTTCTTTCTTTCTTCCTGTATTTTTAGGTTTAGAGTAATTTTTTTTATTTTAATGTTAGAATTCTACTTTATCACTTCTAGGCAATGTGAGTAAATAATAAAAAGTTCTCTTTACTCTGGTTTTTCTCACAGAACTGGATAATATTGATTTTTTTCTAGATGTTACATAAGAGTTTAAAGTTTCTATAGTTTTATGTGGACAGATTTCTAGAGAAGATTTATATAAACCAGCCACTGATTAGTGAGTTGGCCGTTTTCTTAGTGCTTAACTTATTTGTGCATTGCTATTAAGTCATTTCATCAGAATTTTTTTCTAATGTTCAGAATTTTAAAAATGTAATTAAATTTATTGGAGTGACATTAGTTAATAATCACAATTCTTTTTAATAGAAGATAAAACAAAGATGCTTGCTTTTTTGTTGTTTGGTCTTTTAGCAAATGATAGTACCATAATGGATTTTACTTGTAGTTTTAATATTGAATATCTATTCCTTTTTACTTTGATTAGTGTTGTTTAGAGTATTGACATTGATAAAGTAGAGCTGCCTTGGATTTCTTTGTAATTTATCAGTGTATTGGGCACAGGTGGTCTTTGTTAGTCACTGCCTTCAATTAAATGACTTTTGTGATTGACCCAAACATTAGCTTTGCACATTAGTTTTCTGCTCAGGATATTGTTTTATCACTTGAAAGGTCATGAATT